GAAGAGATATTTTGTCGTTCATTCACGTCAGTGAACACTAACTTAGCCTACTTCAACTGAGCAAGTGAAAATTCTAGTTACAGTCCAAAATGACTTTTAAGGCTTAAATGCAATTGATAAGAACATTATTTCCATGAACATCTCACCTTGGGTCTCTTCGGAGTGTGCTGAAACAATCAAATCATCTTCTGTGTTGTTTATTTCAGTATTTCACGTCTCTGTTTATGTTGTTCGTTACACCTCGCGGTGAACGGTTCAAAATAAAAGGCCGTTCAAAATAAAAGCCCCCGAAACAGAATAGGAAAAGCCAAACAAAGTAAATAAATATAAGGAAGTGCACTAATAGTAATATTAAAAAAGATCGAAAATCGAATCGAATCGTAATCGTGACTTTAACATCGAAAATTAAATCGAATCGAGGATTTGGAGAATCGTGACACCCCTAGATGTGTACCATTTGATCCTCCATAAGAGTACAATCAGGGTGCAAACTACAAGGGAGCCAGATGGAGCTGGACTCCTCTTAATAAGATATGAGCTCCCCTAAAAACATGATTTGATTTGTGATTCTCTAAACTACTGACAATGTGCTATTTTTGCCATGCATTTCTATTGTTTTATATCTCTTTATCATCATGGATTATGCATAAACTTGGGCTAGTATTGATGTATGATTTGTGCAGGGTGATTCATCACTAAATAACTTTAATAGAAATACTGCTATTCTTGCCATCACCACTGAAGCATGGCAGCACAATATCATTAACTTCAGATCAGAAAATATACATAAAATGAACTTTCCTATTCATTATTTCTCTGTTTTGTAGTCAGCATACTGTCATACTGTGCATAACGACCATTTGGGAAGAATGATGAATCATTTTTGTTTAATAAGTTATAAACAGTTAATTGATGTTAATTGAGCATTTCGGCTTTAGTTGAATATTCTTGTACTCTTTCCACTCCTGTTATTACCACTGTGGACATAGGAAACTATTCTATTCAGGAGCTATTTTAAAAAAGAAAAACATGATAATGGAGAACATTAATGGAAAGAAATCAACTCTCAGCTGCTGCAGAAAGGCTTCCTTTTATGCCTTATCTCCCTTGTCTCTCTTTCCTTCCCAGGGCTCAAACATTGCCTTAATCATCAACTGTTCCATCAGCCTGTCCACTGGGTGTCTCCTGGTCTTCATTATAGCTTTCCATTATAAGGACATCAGGGTGAGTTTGACTTTTCCCCTTTGTTTCCAACAGTTCGGACGCCCTTATTGTGATGTGCCAAGCGACAGCCTGTCTGTGTGCATGCATAGGTGCATTGCTGATCTTCAGGACTTTTTTATACCAATTATGTTTGTTCCAAATTAGTGTGGTTAGAATGATAGTTTGTTAGAGATACTTGAGGGCAGTCGTTTTAAAAAGGAGCTCTCGGTCCACTGATGGTAGCCACAACACTGATAATCTCTGTTATATTTGCTGTATGCGTAAAAAAACCCTGGACGAAAACCTTAGCCCACACAGGCATACACAATGTTGCAGCTGCGATATTTTTCCAATCCACATGGCTCGTTGCCGTATCGAATTCAGTACACTAGAAGCGATTTGGTTGAAATTAAACAGAGTAAACACTCTTTCATTTGTCTTCATGCACACTCACAGCATGCGTATTCAATAAAGCGCCGTACTAACAAGTGTAGAAAGCACCGTGCACAGTATACTGTACAGTATACTGACCCACTTTTCAGGACTCAAGGTATCTTTTACTCTTTATCTGTCAGACTGGTGGGATTATGCTGTCACCTACAGAGTTTTTAGTTCGGTTGCAAGGTATGTGTGTCTGATACAAGTGGGGTGCATGCAAGTGCAAAGAGGAGATAAGGGAGGGTAGTTTTAGGGTGGAGACCAACACACAAGCAGTGTTCAGTAATGTCTGATGTAGCTTTCATTTTTGGTGTCAGAGGAGACCAACAAAGTCAAGCTATTGAGAGGATCAACACATTCTCACTTCCTTATATGTTCAAACGCAGTTATTAAATCTGTTTACTCCAAGGTTTAATGAAACAGTTGTATCATAAGATAGTACATATATATATAGTATATATATATATATATATTATTTGATCACACACCATGCTTGTAGGCCCACCCCTTAAAATCTGATTTACAATGAGCACAGAGAAACTTTCTACTTTCGGCAGATGAATGTGAAAACATCCTTCTAGTGTCAAACTGTGCATACATTCAGTGAAGTGAAGTCCAAACATCCAACTGTAGGAACAAAAAGAAAAACACATTACTGACATTAAGATGTGTCTGCATTTTCACTGTTTCCATCTTCATCAGCACTTTTATCATGTTTTTCTTACCTCACTCTCCGTCTTAACTGTCCTCCTTCATCTTTCAGCTCTTCATCATTGACCACAACCAGGTGGACTGGCGTATTGCCATGACCAGCCACAGGGTTCTTGTGATCACTCTGGAGCTCTTAGTCTGTGTCATCCATCCTGTTGGCACATACTGGGATGTGGGCCTCCATGTCAACTCCTCTTCCTCGGCTCCGCTCTGTGTTTCCGACCACCACGGCGAGGCCCTGATGGACATGGAACTGCTGTTGTCAGTGCTGATGTTCCTCCGCTTGTACTTGGTGCACAGAACCATCCTGCTGCACAGCAAAGTGCTGCTGAGCGCCTCCTACAGGAGCATCGGCTCACTCAACAACATCAACTTCACCTTCCGCTTTGTTCTCAAGGTACTGATGAACAAATACCCGGGGCGCACGCTGCTGGTCTTCATCCTCTTCTTCTGGCTCACCGCATCCTGGATGCTCACTTTGTGTGAGAGGTAGGGAAGAGAACTGCATGTGTGTGTAATCCTTACAAAAAGACTTGTGATAAGTTAAAGGTAAATCACTAGCAAAAAACTGACATGATGTATGTTCTCTATGCATACTAAACATTACAATCAGTACATAGTATATTCACAAATAAGAGACACATTAGCTCTTGCACCAGCTGGAGATTGACTGTGCATATAATGAGAGACATCCATCAAAAATATGAATTATTTTAAATGGGAAAGCATCAATGAAAAATCTACACTGAAACAACAGTAATTCATAGTATTGATATAATTTGCAGCAGTTAGGTAAAAATTCATTGACGCCGCTCTCACTTCTGTACACTAACTATGAAGCTACAGCCAGAAGATGATTAACTTAGCTTAGCACAAAGACCGGATTCAGGCAAACAGCAAGCTTGACTCTGTACAAAGTTATGGTAAGGTAGAAAATGTCACATTGTGGTGTTATGGGAGGATATGTGCCAGACAGTTTCCTGGCCAGGAGCAGTGACTTCCTGAAGGTGCTGGTAAGCAGAATTTTTTAACCTTTCGACAGAGTCAGGCTAGCTGTTTCCCCCTATTTCCAGTCTTTGTGCTAAGCTAAGCTATCCATCGCCTGGCTGCAACTTCATAGTTAGCATATTCCGAGAGAGGAGTATCAGTCTTCTCACCCAACTCTAGGCAAGAAAGCAAATAAGTGTATTTCCTTATATATTCCTTTATTCAGAACAAATTTCCCAACTTACAGCATGGGTATATTTTTGCTCTAGAACTGTAAGCTGAACAATGAAATAAACTGAATATGTGTGTAAAAACCTAACTTAAAATTTCACCATCCTACATAATCTTTGCTCTGAATAGTTTTATGAGAGAGCTGTCCCCGCTCAACAAATATTGACTGGACTCAACACATAGACAAAGTAGCAGCAATAATTGCTTTCTGCAATAGTCATTATGGTTTTAGATTATTAGATTCAAAATAAACATTCTCTATTTCCTTTATGAAAGTGAAGATTAACTACAATCAGATATCATGGATGGAGCAAATAAGAGACTGCCCCTCTTTCACTGGATGACTTTGTCAGAATTTCAGTTAGGAGGCTTTTTTGCAAAAATAGTCAGTAGTCTTTAAAATGATCTAACAGACTATACAAAAATGTTTTTGATTGATTCTTCATACAGTCAGTACTCTTACAATAAACAACGACCATACCTGCACTAATGAATAATCACTGTAAAGTTCTGTTTTTTATTCTCCTTCATGGAAGCTAAACACACACACATGCTCTGTCCGTTACTATCTTCCCCCAAACCTCCACTCCCCATCACACACATGCACATTAAAAAAACCCAACATGCTTGGTAGTTTAACATTCCTCCTCAAACCTTGATGGTCAATTTCACTTTCCTGTTCAGAATGGATTTCTAATAACGGATTTGATCATCACGATATTCTATTTTGTTACTCTAACAAATTGCTCTTTTAACGCGAGCCAACTAAACGTCAGCCTTATCCACTGCAGCCTGTTTGGCTGTTTAAACAGTGTGAGGTCATTTGTTCATTTGAACCCTAATGGGAGGTTTTTGTCTTCAGTTTCACGTCTCAGTCTTGTGTGTTTTGATTTGTCAAAGGTAATAATACAGTTTATGATTGATGGCTGATAAGACCACTGACCTTTTCAACACTGAACTATTACACTAGCCATTTTCTATATTAGCTGATTATCACAAGACAGATGAGCACTCACACCCTGTATGGCCTCTTTGTGTGGTTTCTGCCGTGTACTGGACTCATAATGTTTTACAGGTTTACATTAGTACCCACTTCCTTTCTTCCTAAGTACTGTAAGCATCAGCACTGATAACACAGTTTGATTAACAGACAAGACCTTTATCAAACACAGAAGACTCATTGTCTTGGGTGCTTGATTTATTGCTGTATCTAAGACATAAAGTTATCAAGTCCATTGAGTTATGGCAGATTCACAGACCAGTGGGTTGGGATTGGGCATATGGTTATTAAGAAAGGAATATATAATTGTAATCATAAGAAGGTCCCTGTAAGAACAGTGTAATTTGGGACTAATTATAGGGGAATGGATTGTTGTGAACAGCATTGAATCAATATATACAGTCAGAAATCCGTTCTAAAATTTCACTGGCATCCAGTTAAAATGGTCATGTTTGAGTAGAACATGTTATGTATTAATACAGACAAATAGTTGGATGTTTAAGTTGGTTGGGGTTATATAAATGTGGATTATGGTTTTGTTTATGTCAAGAATTTGGCCGTCTGCCCATAACTACAGTATCCATACGAATTAATTTAACACATTTTGTTACGACACAGTCTCTGTCCTGCTTTCTTTCCCCTGCAGGAAGACCCAAGAATCGACAGGCCACATGGACACGGCTCTGTGGCTCATAGCCATCACCTTCCTCACAGTGGGCTATGGTGATGTGTCGCCCAACACCAGCTGTGGCAAGGCAGTGTGTCTCTTCACTGGAGTCATGGTAACTAGGTTGGGTTGCTTGTTGAGAAATGTAATGTATGTAAGAAAATGTTATATTCATTATGATATACAAAGGTTTTGTGCAAGTGCTAAAGAAATAGCATGCAACTGCATGCATATTTAAGTATAAAACACACAATACTTGTTGAGGCATTCCTTTTATTTCATTTCAAGTGGTTGTTTTGGCGTCTTTGGCCTCTTGTTGGAAAATTACTTAGCCAGCTCAGCAGTAGTGGTGTGAACGTAAAAATACATTTAATGCTCAGTTTGATAACCACAAAAAAGGACGTCTTATCTTTGTTTCACTTCTGTATTTGTTCACAACCAAACCACCTGGCATTTCTCTGTGGACTACGAGCTTGACACGGCACTAAAACAAAATGTTCTTTTGCTGTTCTTTTTATTTTCAATTTTATTTTGTTTTTTTTGTGTCAGTACAGGTCCATTTTCCCACACCTTCACTTTTCTTGAACTTCTGCTTTGTTCTGTTCTGCTCTTTTCATTTGTCTTCTACTCTATTCCATTCTCATGCTGGTCTCTATATTCATTTCTATTCTGTTCTGAGTTGTTTTATTTTATTTCCTTCCTTATGTTCGGCACCATATTGTTCTGCTCTTTTCTGTTCCATATCATCCTCTCTGGTTTGATTCATTCCCTTCTGTTTCTGTTCTCTTCTGTTCCATTGCAGCAACTCTTCCCCCCATTTTTTCCTATTTAATTTTCCCATTTCATATTGGGTCAGTTCACTTTGGCTCACTTTTCTCCTGCAGTTTTTGTGTTCTAGCCTATTCTGCACTATTCCACTTGTTACCTTGGACCCCTTTTACCCGGCTGCATACCCGAGATGTGCTGACAGACCTGAATGCCTCCATTCCCCTGTGTGTGTGATTTATATCACAGCTTTAATTTAAAGACTTTGGTGGTACCAGGCACTCACGTGATAAGACTGATGGAGGGAAACTGTCAACATGCAGTGGGTGCTGTGCAGTACACAAAAACACTTTATGGAGTGGGATGCTTCTGCTTAAATGAACGCATCCTACAGAGAAGCCCTGAAGTCTGTCAGTAGTTGTCATAGTCAAATTGTTTGATTACACAGTACAGTTTTTTTTCTATAACAGCAAGACAATATTGTGGTTTTAATGATTACACAAAGCAGTGGCAAGGTTAGGACTGACCAAAAGGTGGAAGGGAGGGTCGGAGATAGAGATGGCGTGGTAAAAGGAATGGGGAAATGGTATTTGAGATAAAACACAAAGAGTTACAGTAAAGTAAGATAAACAATAAGTCACCGAGAGCGAGGAGTGGCAGTGTGTTTGAATAGGCAACAGACTTTGGTTGGCTGCCTCACGTCTGCTGTGTTAAATTCTGGTACAAGCAGATAAGTGTCACCACTGTGGTTCTGGATGTGGGCAAGAGTCCGGTTTAGACACCTCTGTGACAGAGTGGAAAACAATCTTTTCCCTCTCTCATTCTCCATCTGCCTTGTTTTTATAAGCTTCCCCCCCTTTTAAGGGAAAACTTTCCACCATATCCATTTTTAGGTGGTTTATTGCCTTTGGCACCACTACAACAGGAGGGTGTGCCAACCTGTGCCAGTGATTTGGAAAAAAATAAATTTCCTTCTCCCATCAGGGCAGTTCTAGGAGCCAGTCACTGGGGCTCTCACACCTGTAATATGGCTGAAAGCCTCTATGGTCAGCACTTCTACTTAACTCCAGCCATAACTCAATTTGCAGCTGTGTTCAGGGGTTGACAACACTGTTTGCATCCCATCACTGTGTGTGGATGGATCCAAGGAGAGAGTCTGTACCTCCTAGGGTTCACAGACGGTGTAATGATAGATATTTTGTGGCTCTTGGAGTGATGTACAAATTTAAAACTCTGTTTTTTTTTTTGTGCTTTCTTATGCTTGATCTCTCCTTCTTTCTATCTGTTTCTAATGCAAGCTGAAAAGAGGAAAACAGGTAAAGACTGGTTATGTTTCATTATCCTTGGTGGACGTGATATCAGTGCAGTGTTTATTGTCTGTGTTTCTTATGACGTGTCTTTTTCTGTGACTATGTGGATGTGATTTGCTCTGCAGCCCAAATCTGAATCTTCACCACCATCCTGTAGTTCCCTGTCCAGCAATAGCACAAAGCTATTCTCAGAGGAAAGCAGCACTATAGCAGTGCCACAGAGGCCTAGCCATTGAACTCTCTGTGTAAATATAACTTTGATTTATTGGACAAAACCATATGAGGTATGAGGATCAACATTCAGTTTTCTGTGCCTTCCCTTGGGGGGAATGGTGGAGCAAAATATACAAGACCAACTGTTGAGGATTTAGACAAATTCAGGCTTAAAATCAGACTGTTAAAGTTAACATCAGTTTCTCTTGAGTTCTGCCTTGTTGATGTCCCTTCAGTATTTAGGATCAGTCTCCAACGCTTACATGATTATTGAGAAAAGAACACAGAAGGCAGATGGTGAATATATTAGTAACCATGCCAACATCTGTGTGTGTGTGTGTTGGGTTTTAGGGTGTAGCCTGCACTGCCATGCTGGTGGCAGTCGTTACCAAGACGCTGGCTTTGAACAAAGGGGAGAAGCATGTGCACTTCTTCATGCTGGACATCCAGATCTCTAAAAGGGTAAGACCAAAATAAGTTATTAAGCAAAAGTATATTATAATGTTATAGTTTACATTATGAAAACGCTGTAATGAGTCTATAAGAATTTGTTTTGCAACAGTTCGACAGTTTTCTTTATCAGATACCACTTTTGGATGAACATGCATAGCCATTTCCGCTTGCAATTTTGAGGTCTCTTATACTTTGCATCACTCTGACAGGCTTCATCTGATAGGTGTTACTTCAAAGATCATATACTTTTGCATGTTTTGGCCCATTTACTACAAATCATGGGTACTTTATGTTACTGCTAACTCTGTTTCAAAATGCGCTGCAATGTTTTAGTTTTCTTTAAAGGTACCTTCCCTCTAATTTCTGTATGAAAATCGGCTTGCAGGAACTTGAAACCTGTTCAAGTTCAGTAATCCATCACAATGAAGACCAAGTCTATGTTTATTGTTGTCAAAGTCACTGGAACATTGTGTGGTACTGCAGCTGAAAGTGCAGAATGATTTGAAAAGTCTGCACGGCATTGCCAGACAACAATAACATAACTCAATAAAAAACATAAAACACTTTGGTATGCTTGGAAAATGCTCAGCAGTTATGTAAAATATGTTATTTATATTGAATGGGCCAAAACGTGTAAAATTCTGGTTGTTTAAAAGAGAACCACCATAAAGCAACACTTTCCTGCAGAGGATTTAATGAAAATAGAGTCTTGACACGTGAACAGCTCAATATAGGTCAGATCATTGATGCTTAACTTTGAAAGTCACCAGGAGTGGTGTCATGTGACAAAATGATGACATCACAGGCTCTCCTGTACCAACCTTGACAAAGACATACATCTACATTTAAATGGTTAATATAGCAGTTGTAACAAATGGGCAATATAAGTGTTATTTTTACATTTGAGGTTTCTCTATTAGGCTCTTATTTTTGTATGTTTGTGATGTATCTAATAATGAAACAAACTTATTTATTTACAGTAAACAGTAAACCTTTCATCAAAAGTTACTCCAGTGTAGCAAGACAAATAAGAGAGTTGATAAAGCGGACGGAGGCGTCAGGAAGGAAGCGTAACTACTTTCTGTGTCGCATGCATGTTTTGGTTTTTGAGTCTAATTTTAATTATTTTTTTCCTTAAATAAGAGACACCAGAGGACAGATAGTGTGGGAAAAGAGGAGGGAGATGAGGTCTGCCAACCTCTTTATAGCAATTTCAAGGCGTCAAACAGAGGAAATCATCTGATTTCTGTCAGGAAAGAAACTTGTGTCAGTTCAGGACGGTGCAGCGACTGGCAGGAAACTGGTTGAGCTTACATGTGTTTTTGTGAGTGTGTGTAGAAGTGGCTTGCAGAGGGCTTACTCTGTTTGTAGACTTGGATAGTATTCAAGTGTTTGCTTATCAATGGGAAGAACGTGCCTGATGAATAAAAGCTCAGGAGGAAACATTGTCATACAGCCAAAAAATGCCTTAGGAATGTACATACATGTTATTGGCCAAGTACGTATCTGTAGGCCATACATACAAGAAATCTGACTCTGGTTTTACGCTGCTCTCAATGTATATACATAGAAGTAGGCATACATACATCAAAAACAAGGTCAGATTTGTAATGTGACTGACATAGCTCCTACAATCTTAGTTTCAGTTTGTTCTCTGTATGCACTCTAAAGCAGTGTCTGACTGCAGTAGGTGCACCGCTTTGGAGGATACAACCATTTCCTTTCTCCCGGTGGCTGCATCCTGTCACTAGGTGCATCTTTATGCCTTGCTTGTGGTTGTTCTTGTGCGTGTATGTGTGTGTGTCTGTTTTTGTGCTTGCATTCTTCCAAGCTATCTGGTGCAGTCCAGATTTACACTGATGGGAACAAGGGAAGACATCTGGATGCAGACACTGACAGCATCTATTAATAACCCTCACAACAGGGCCTGAGTGACATCATCACGGGGCAGTTACAGTGATTTGTGCAGGAAGACAAACAGACGTGAATAGAATCAAAGAGAAAAGTGCAAAAAGGTGATACAGGAATCCTGTATCACTGTTATAGGCTGTATGTCAATTCTTGTATACGAGAATCTCTGTGGAAATAAGTTGTGTTTTATCTGAAATCTGTAATCTGAAAAATAGTTACAGGAAACACTATCTGGATTCAATCAACTGGTTTAAATGAAGGTTTTTACTTGCTGTACCAAAATGATTGATATAAACAATTTGATAAGCGCTATGTGTTTTTGTCAGTCAGGCTTGCATGTTTGATTGACTTTATCTTGATGGTCTTATGGTCCATGTTTCTGCTCCTGAAACCTCCATGTTTGATCAGTCAGTTTTGACGTTTCTGTCCTTTCACCAGATCCGCCACGCCGCTGCTAATGTGCTAAGAGAATGCTGGCTTCTGCACCGCACAAACTTGACAAAGGGCAACCGTGGTGAGCACCGGAGACACCAGAGATGCCTTCTGGAAGCCATCAGAGTGTGAGTTACTGAACAGCAAAATGATACCTTCAGGCAGGATGTGTGTGTGTCTGGGCCAGGGATGTATAAGTGGGTGGTGGTTTGTGTGTTTTACGGGTCATTAACTTAGTGTCAACATGCTCAACCACAGAGTCACAGTTTTTAATGGCTAATTTAGATTACTAATTAGACTTGTTTGCCTTTTTTATGTGGGCAGGACATGTGTGAACAAGGGTCCACCCCTTTATTACACAGAATTCAAGGCAAGGTTCTGAGACATGCTGGCAAATAACCTTTTCCCTTTTTTTTTTTTTTACAGTAAAATTTGACAGTAACACACAACATATTATACATCTTCTAAGACACTCATCAAGAAAAAGAAGGTGGAAACCATTACCCTTTGAGTTGGGTCTTCTTGTTATTGACTGGACTGCACAACACAGGAAGTCCAGAAGTGTGATTGTATGGTTCATTATCCTGACAACAGGGTTATGTGTGTGAGTGTTTGTAGCCTGGGTGGAAGGGTTGTACTTCCTGCTTTACACCAGGCAGAGCCACTAAAAATAAATATTCTGTGGAAAGTACGAGCAGGAGGGACCTCCACACCTTGGGATTAGGAACAGTATAATGTAATGAGACCATCACTCTTCAGAGACTGGTTGCATGATTGCAATATTGGTTTCCATATGGGTTTTCACTAAATGTTGGCCTTTTCCACCTTTATATGTCAAAACCTTCGAGCAATGTTTTATAGCTATTTAACAAACACAGCAGGATTCCTGCATGTTGAGTAGTGGAATACTCCGTTGTCAGCATATTCCTCCACGAATCAGGGGGTTTTGTATTGTGCCAGAACTGTTCTGTTTGTCCAAAAATAGGACGCTCTGTCCGTAGATAGGCACTTCAAAACCCTTATTGTAGCGTTTAAACCTTGAATTCTACACATAGTAACATTATATTACTTTATTTAAATCAATGGACCTTGAACTGTTTCCCTTTCTGTGTCTCAGTGCAACATTAAAGGTAATTAAAATACGATTATGTTTGAAATACTTCCACATGACTGAGATCTACCAAACCTGTTTTTATCTGTGCAGATTTCGGCATTTACGCCTCAAACAAAGAAAACTGAGAGATTACGTCAGCGAGATGGTGGACCTTCCCAAGGTAAACGACAGCTGTCCCCGGAATATTTTGTGCATGTTCTACTGGAAAGGCCAACACCATATAAGATGACAAAGTTCCTCTTTAAAACACTTACTACTTACATACTATTATGCAGTATTTTACAGGCTGCTGTTTATCGCTAGGTGTTCAGACACATTAAATGCTTGTTAAAAAATCTCCATAAAATGTCTCAGGATTCATTTGTGTCAGGAATTCATAGGCCCACATAGGTTTTCCATGTGGAATAAACCCAAGGTATAAAGACATTACCCAGTGAGACGCACTAATGTGTAATTTGTGCCTTTTTATTCTCTCTATTGATTTATATGGAAAACAAAACCATGTCATGGTCACTTTGCAGTCTGTAAGCCGAACATGCTGCTCTACTTGACTCTGGCCCAGTGAGTTGGCTTGAAAACTGTCACACAAGCACAATATAACAGTGTGTCAATCAGTCAGTAAGAGACATTGCATCTCCAGAGCTTCACTATAAAATCTGCAACATATATTTAAAATGTGTCAGCACAGATTCCAGCAATATGGTCAGGTTTAAGGCCGTAGTTTGACCCCAGTGTTTTCCCCTTGTAAATACACACTTTTTTTCCCCATTTGCATTTCGTTGCTGATTTCAACAGATGCAGATGATCATGTGTGACCTCAGTGCCAATTGGAATAACTCCTATCGGGAGCTGGAGCAGCGTATCCTCTCCATGGAGCAGAAGCTGGACGAACTGAGTCGCTGCTTTCAACAAACGTCTGAGCTGCTGTCTCAGGTCCTACGTCACCGAAACCCGGAGATAAGGTTAACAACGCTTACAGCTCCCATCTAAATTGCGCAGATCTGCTAACAACACAGCGCAGGATGTGGTGTCTAAGCATACTAAGAACTGCTACGTTGTTTGTGTTTATTTGCAGGTGACATGGCTACATACACTTCAGAGACAGCTAATCTGTCTTCAGCATTTTCATCTACAGTATCCACGAAAGTGAGACAGTAAATCCTCTCCACCCAGAGTTGCTCCAGACTCTAAACATGCTGAACCACTTGGAGGACTGGCATACCTACTAAAGATCTCATCTTCTGGCTTTGTGCGGAGTGCACGGCACAGTGACTCATGGCTGTAAAATTGTACAGATAAAATAAGACTTCCCTTCAGTGTGGGAGAATCACAGTGCATTTTGAGAAATCTGTTGTATTTTCAGCAGTTATATTTGTGAGGGTGCACAAAGGACTGAAGTAATCTCAAACAGTGAGTGTGGAGAGCCTTGTAATCCACTGTCAAAGGCTCCAGGGCTAACCAAGGGTAACTTTGGTATTTTTCAACCTGGACATTATTTTCCCATATTTTTGTGTCAAAGTAACTAATGGGGAGAGGTTTGAATTTGGTCCAGTATTGAGTGAGAGCGCTGCAGCCTGCAGCCGCAAAATGGGCTACAACGTTATTATTACGGGCAATTGCTCACCGTCAGAATACATCCATTAAAAGTGCTCGTTTTTGCCAGCGACAGGCTCACATTGTTACTATTAGTGTCTCACCACACGACCCGACACATTAATCACACTTTCTGTACTTTTTGCTTGATCCACTATGTCTGCGCGTCGTCTGCTCTTCAATTTGTAGTCTTATCCGTATACTCCGGCTTTAATGAATATGGGTGGCCATCAATTTCAAAGGCCTCATCCAAATCAGCTAAATATTCAGCCAAAATATTTCATATAACTCTAACACAACAAACTCTTCCTGGCCGACACTGCAACGCTCCCGTTTCTACTGTTGTCTTCCTGCAACGAGTCAACTCACGGCTCTTGAGATTTCAGAAAGACTTCTCCTAGAGCGAGACTTGGTTAGACAAAAAGGCAGGTCAGCACACTTCTAACTAACAATCTGAGCCAATCAGTGGCAAAGGCAAGCACTTTTAATGGGTGTATTTTAATGGTGAGCAATTTCCCACCAAATTCAAAAGTTCTTGTCCCCATCAGTCACTTTGACACAAAATTGTGAAAATAAGGTCCAGGTTGAAAAACACTGACATTACCCTTTAACTTCTATTTGTAAGGTTTCATTGATGGACTCCGTCACTGCCTTATTCCTGTGGAATAAGATATATATTTTTCATCTTAATTTTATTTTAAATTTCTTGCAATGTTTTTGTGTTAGCATAATCAGTTTTATAAAAACCTATCGCAAATCCTCTTTTTCATCAGCAGACAGTTGAATGGCTATCAAGGTGATTATTGTTTGCAAACAGGCTTTTTCAATACAATTCAGTTTCTTACAATTCCTCATTGTTCTGCTTTCCTCTAACCCACCAAGTGAATTGTGAATGAAATGTTGTGTTTTGATGAGCAACCGAGAGAAGAAACTAAACTTCCAGTATTCCAGTATTGTGGGAAGAAACCTTTATTTCAAAGCTGAAGTACGTAGGGTTTTAAGGGATGTCAACTTAAACTTAAACATAGATTAATGTCTACATTTAAGGTTGTAGGCATCGGTTTACACCTGTTCTGAGAACAATGAAACTTGAGTGTAAGCTGCCTTGTGAACTCATCTTTCAGCAACCCAACAACTCCATCTAGTGGACATGAATTCAGTAAACTACATAATATTGAGGACTGTTGACATTAAAATTTTAAAGATTATATAAGAATGCTAAAAAAATTAATATGCTATTTTCAACCTGAATACCAATACCTCTTCAGTGTCTCACACGAATGTAACATTTGAATCAGCTGTAGAGAAAAACAGAAAACAAGAGGACTTAAACTCCCTTACAAACCTCAGTTAAGAATGCACTTTGTGAGAACCATTAGCAAAACTGGACAAACTCTTTCTCTGGAGGATAAACTGGAGTTTTGATGTGTTTTAAGTTAATCCTATAGTGAAAACAATGTTCCTTGTGGGTTAATTTGTACTTTGAATATGTTGTCAGAAGAACTTCTGAACTTGTTCTAACTCTGTTTACTATGTATCATTTGCACATGGTGAAAAAAAAATGTTAACAACCATCCAGGACATGCTTGTAATTAAAAGCCATTAAGAATGAATGCATATGTGATTTTGCTTTGATTTTGTCACTTGGCAGTACAAACATTAAACAAAACAGTGACAATCAGATGACATGTGAAAGATCCCTTTTGATTTAACACCTTGATTCAGTGCGGTGCACAAACCATAGGTAAAACAGAGATGTGTTGGTTCTTCGTCATTTCAAGGTCTTCTTCAATTGTTTTGTTTTTGTCCTGTTTTGAAGTTGGTGCCATATGTAAGCCGAAGGCCTAAAAAACAGTTGTCCGCAGTCACATGTAAAGGGCATTCGGCACTTTCTCTTAACTTTACGTTTCCATTTATGTCCAGAACGGGATTTTTTCCGTGACTTGCCCTTCATGTGCTCGGCTAAGAGTTTGGCTCCCGTGAAAGTCTCCCCGCAGCTGACGCAGATGTAGCTTATGGTCTCTGCGTGCTGAACACAATGTCGCAGGAGGTGCAGCCGGTGCTTAAAAGCTCGGCCGCACTGGCACTGGTGTGAGCGGTGGCCTCGGTGGAGGTAGCGGTGGCTGATGACGAGGGAGGGCTGCCGCAAGATGGCGCCGCACTGCCTGCAAGGGTAGGGGGCCTTTGAGCGCCAACCTGTGTTCATGCGTTTCGTCAAAGCCACGTCATGGCTGCCATTTTCAAACATGGCCATAATAGTGGGCGTTGGCGGGGAGACGCGGTTGGTGGGTGCAGTGGCTGGAGTTGTGTCAGTGGCACCGGGGGCAGGGACAAATGAAGACGCAGAACGACAACTTGTTGGCTGGTTGGTTGGCTGCTCTAGGGTGCCGTCTCTTCCTGGTCTGACAGGTGCATCGGCCGACGCCATGAATACCGGAGCAGGAGGTCTGCCCGGGTGGAAGGAGGAGGCCGAGAGAGAGGAAGGGCTAGATTTCACAACAGTGGACAGTGACCCTGCATAGGTTTGGCCAACATGGAGTTTCCCATTAATGACCTGGTTGACTACATTTGGACTAGTGATGGCTGAATGGGCTGCTGTGCCGTGGACACCCGAAGAAATCTTTTTATCCGTCAACACCGAAGGATTGGTAATGATGCACACCTTGGTGCTGACCACTGACGTGTGAACTCTGGCGACATGGTTGAACAAAGTCTTCTCAGAGGTGAAAAAGGATTTGCATATGTTACATGCTTGCGGCATTGACTCGCAACAAAAGAGGACCAAAGGCGATCCGCTTCCTTTGGGACACTGGTGGTGTTGGTAGGAGTTCTCGTGAGGGAAAACTTGGCCACAGACGTCACAGGAATACAAGGGCATGTAGTGTTCATTAAGAGACGTCTCAGTTTGGAAGAGCTCCTTGCACAGCGAACACTGATATTTCACCCTTATCCCGCTACAATGCAGCAAATGGAGCTTCATAGACCTAAACGGCCCTCTACCACACCTAGAACATACTGAACTGTTAGCACTAGGAGGGATTGCGGGAGTGTTTTTAGAGAGCGGACTATTGGAAGAGTCACTGGAATAATCAGTTGAACTTGAGTTCGAGTCACCGTCTGATTCTGGATCATCTGGACACAAGTCTGAAGGTTTGGAGCGCGTCTTATCCTCATCGTCAGAGTCAGAGCTCGACGAATCACCTGCCTTCTCACAATCACTCTCCATGTCAATATCTTTATCATCTTCACCCACTATATACTCTACACTGTTTTCAGGTGTGTCAGGTCTCTCAGGTTTCATCTCACTTCTCTGTTGAGGTCTCAATTCTGACACCGACTCACACAGCACTGAATTTGTGCCATGCTGGGCAGTCACCGCATTAGAAACGTTGTCACTGTTCTGACTCTGGCATACAATCGCAGAAATCAAAGAGGGAGCTTCTTGAAGCGACGCAGAGCCCACGCAATGTGTCTCCGAATGCTTGTTCAACTCCCACACATTACCGAACGACTCACAGCACTTTCTGCAGAGGGGTGGCGAGTGCGCATTATCCAGGTGCGTAGAAAGCGACGTCAGGCGTTGGAAAGTAACCTTGCAGACGTGGCAGGTGGCTTTGATATTGTGGCTTTTGTAGTGCGACATCAAGCTTGTTATGTTGTTGAATTCTTTGCCACATTCCCAACATTTCCTTTTTGTGGATACGCACCATTCGTCATCGCAGCTCGAGTCTTCGGACATAGGGAGTCGGTCAAGGCAAACTTTGGCTGGTCTGCAATTTAAAGCAGAGTGGACACAGTGGTTGGAAATAAATCCATATGGCAGGTTTAAAACAAGCATCACAGCAGACAAATTACAGCAGATGTATGTGCTATTATTACTAATTAGTTGACTAGACAAGAAACTACTGAGTTCAAATCATAATTGCTAATTAATTTGAGTGACTTATCAAGCAAATGTTACATGGATCGCTATTATATTATGTACAGATGTTTGTGCCTAACTCAGGATGAATTATAACACATTTGGGAATCTCCTAACTTTTCATGTAGCGCCATCATCTGGTCAAAATATTAATTAGTCCAATACTATGTAAGTATATTATAATGTAGCTCCAGTGCCTCTGGCCGCAGGCTCTCAGTCTTAAACCCTTGCTGTTATTTTTGTGTTATAACATTGTTGTATAGTTTTAAACTCTATTTTAGTTCGCTACTTTTAGACAAAACAAGAAAACTTCAAGACAGCGAAGGGTCTGGGAAACTGTGACAACTATCTGACGGGTTATAGAGCAAACCATCAATCAATGAACCGAAAAAAGGAAACGAGCATTGAAACAATCATGAGTTGCAGCTCAAGTGTGGTTAACCTCACATATGTTATATTAAATACACACATTTTCCACTACAGTCCGCACACACAACCTTAGATATCAGCCACATGTTCTCCTCCACAACCAAACTGTACGCACCTCTGTCAACAAGGACCGGAGCTCAGATGATGTCATGCCTCCAAACTCTACGGTGATGGTTCATGACGTCCGTTACCGTTACTGTGCGGCAGCTAACGTTACTTAAAGAACACAAACAGCTAACGTTAGCGTTCACGTTAACCTGCATGTAATGGTTTGAGTTTTCGGATAAATAAGCTCCTCTGTTCCGCATTAGTGTCCGCAGCACGTCCATCTGTGCAGGCTGCGACAAAACACATGAGGTTCAACACACTGCAAACAGAAAAGCACTTCAAATTTCAACATTTGAAGTGCTTTTCTGTTGATGGCGTCCACTCTCCGAGCTCCTCCATATCCGTTTTATACCGGAAGACAGACGCCTACATCTCCCAGAATGCACCAGAGGGGAAGTTTAATACTTTTCCAAACTTCGGGGGAAAGCGTTTAAAGTGTATATAAAACTCATGTTTGATACACTTGCAATTTACTTATAATATTATATTAATAATTTAATCCGATGACAATTTCATGACGCCTTTATGTCGTTTGTATAAACGTATTTAGGCTAAAAATGTAGCTGTAACAGCAATTATCAATGTGATTAGTTTTCTTTACCTGAAAGAAACTGGAAGATGTTACTATTATTATAAAAAATATGTATCATACATTCCTATATTCTTTTATATAGTAGAATATACAGAATAGAAATCGAAGTGATCTCACTGACAGCATAATAAGGGATCCCTACAGAGGCGGAACTACCCATCACATTACGATGTTTCAGAACGACTTCATTTACCAGACGAACGAGGTGCGTTAGATTGGCAACAGAAAGAATGTCGGGTGGGCGGAGTTTCTTCCAGCGCGTTGACATCGGGAACCGCTCCAACGTCGCAGTAAAACGGCCAACGCCGAACTTTAAAACAAGCGCACTAGCAGAAAGCGTAGAGCCCAACGTTATTTACGTCCACAGACGGCTTCAGCTGCAACACAGTCACCGCTAAATCACTTTAAACGTCCACAAAAAGAGGAACGGTCGCAGGAGTTGTCGCTGAGAGCAGATTTCCACATCCGAAGATATCTTTCGGTGGAAGAAACCTCATCTTCAGCCCGCCCTGCTTGGACTGGGTCCCATCGGTACCTTGCTGTGTGTTGACATCAGCTGTGCGGCTGTAGGGACTCGGGGGAGCAGCAGCATGTCAGAGTCCGGACACAGTCAGCCCGGGATGTACGGGCAGGGACGCAGGAGGAGGCGACGCCGGGGAGACAGGGATGCTGGACCTCCGGGACAAAATCTGTCCGGTCCCAGTCGGGATCGAGAATACCAACCGAGGGAACGAAGGGTGATACAAACAAATACTCCCACTGATGAAAGTCTGTGCTGTTATGATTGGTGGTTTAACTGTTGTACTCCTGAATAGTAACCCGTTAACTTGTTTGTTCAGGATGGAAGCGAGGATCCACCAGGCCCCCTCATCCAGAAGACCCCCATCATTCTCGCAAAACCCCCTGGGGACAGGGTACGTTAACTTGTCTCGGATTTGAAGCTCTTTTTGTAATTGTCTTTATTGAACACAAGGTACAATGCATCCAGTAACGTCAACATGAGACCATGTTATTCTGTCTGTGTTATACTTTCACATTTACATTGAATTATTCATTTGGCAGACACTTTTATCCAAGGCAATATACATTTACATACTTATTTCCAGAATTTAGGACTTCACCCACACTGCCAAAGCAAACAGTTAATAAGAAAGTGCAGTTTGGATCTATTAAGGTCCTCTGCGTCACCCGTAAACTTGTGCTGTTGTTGGATCCTTTTCAAGGCCAAGCCGTCTCAGAATGCACCTGCCAGTGGAGCTCCAGTCTTGGAGAAGCCCATCATGCTGATGAAAGCCAGGGACGATGGAGGGAAACCTGGAACCCCTCCAGAAGCGGCAGCTCAGCCCTCTGGTCCCGGACCCTCCAAGATGGAGAAGGAAGGGCAGCGACCCACCCAGCCTGTATACCAGATCCAAAACAGAGGAATGGGTGCTTCAGCATCAAGCAGCGCTGTGGACCGTGAGTTATTTTACAGTTTACTAAAGGAACTGGGTTGTGTTTTTCTACCCTCAGTGTCTCATTAAGGCCACATTATTATGTGTACAGAGAAAATAAATGTTTTCATATGACTTCCAGCCATGGTTGGCCAGTCTAAACTCCTCCCTCCAGAGAAGATGAAGCACAGCATTAAGCTTGTGGATGATCAGATGAATTGGTGTGACAGCGCCATGGAGGTGAGTTAATGCTCGATGCATTCAGTCGATTGCGGAGACACTGTGTTAAAGGATTTGATCATGTTTTCAGTACACTGGACTGTAGGGAAGTTGTGTTTTGTTGTGATGTGTTGCAGTATCTCAGGGACCAGACAGATATGTTGGTGGTGGGAGTCATTGGCCTGCAAGGAGCTGGGAAGTCTACAATCATGTCACTGTTATCTGCCAACACTCCTGAGGAAGATCAAAGGTAAAGTTGGTTGTAATCGCAACAATCAACTCAACTAAGTGCTCAGTTAGGTGCGGATGATGTACTTAATTCCTTTATTAACTTAATAAACAAAAACAGAATATAATTGTGCTCTTGTTAAAAGAGTCACAGTTGAAAGACGTTGATGAGGAGGATTTCCCATATTCGAAAAGGGCTGAACTTCTGGCCTCAAAAGTTATTGTTCGATTTACTGTACATGTATTTACAGCACTAGACCAACCTGTAATACAGATTAGTCGAAAAGCGTCTTTTTTGTACATAGAATATTGAATTTTTGTCAGTCTGCTCATTTTGTATTCATAATGCTCACTTGGAATAGAAGCAGTGTTTCGAAATCAGCTCAAGCTCACCCATTTGTTCATTCTTCCCATCAAAATGTTGCATTTTAAAGCTGCACTTAAAAGGTGATGGTACTCTTTTTGAACACATGGGGGCGATATAGTACCTATAACCTATCTGCTGTTGTAGAGTCTAGTGCAGTGTGTCAGCTAATCATAGATTATTTTGTTTTCTAATAGTTCCCACATTTAAAATCAATTCAGTGTTTGACACTGTACATTTCCCACACATCAGAAAACCGTATAATCTAAACTATTATTTGTTTAGGGAAAATTAGAACTACTAACTAAAATAATTATTTAGACCTTTACACTCTATCTATGCATTTGTTAAGTGCAGTTGTAATACATTATATTCTGTAAGATTATTTCAGAAAACAAAGAAAATGCCCAGAACATTTATGACTACGTACTCAGTGAGAGAGGCTAATTGGAAGAGTAAGTGATGGAGGTCATACCGTGTCCTTGGTTTGGAATTTGGAAACATGCTTGTTTGTTTGCACAGGGGTTATGTATTCAAAGCTCAGACTCAAGAAATCAAGGAAAGAGGAGGAAACCAGAGCACAGGTATTGATTTCTTCATCACACAGGAGAGAGTCATCTTCTTGGATACACAGGTAAGAATAAAGTATTGCACATAGAGCAACCATTTCTCTTTAATATATTCAATATTTTCAATTTCCTGTCAGAATATAAGCAAGTCGTGAACTGTGCAAATTGAAATGTCACCTTGGAATAGAAATATGTTGAGCAAAATGCCTTATTTGTTTCTTTAGCCAATGCTCAGCCCATCTATTCTCGACCACCTCATCAACAATGATCGGAAGTTGCCTCCGGAGTACAACCTCCCTCACACATATGTTGAGATGCAGGTCAGTGGCTGGCCTGTAGATGGCAGTGAAAACACTAGTAGTTTAGTATGTGAGCACATGTAATTTACCTCTAGGGACCAATGCATAGATTAGTTCTCTGATTCATTGTTTAATGACAGTCTGTTGGTTATTTTATATTCTTGTGTACACACACATTCACATGTAAACCACTCTCTGTATAATCCGTCAACAGTCTCTTCAGATCGCCGCATTCCTGTTTACAGTGTGCCATGTGGTCATTGTAGTTCAAGATTGGTTCACCGACTTAAACCTCTACAAGTAGGTATCTGTGATGGGTCTATGTTACACTTGGTGCCCTGCTTCACAGGAAGCTCAGGAAGGCTCTGAAGATCTATTTAATGTCCCGTCCTGCCGCAGGAATGTTAAGCATTTCCTCTTGTATCTTGAGAGGATATTTGTCTTTTGCTTTTTCATAAGCTCAATAATGTTATTCTTTCAGTTGGTCTTGTAGTCAACAAATGCGGGCAAAGCCACACCTTTTGGAAATGCACGCCTCTAACATGTGCTGACACTCTACAATCACTATATCTTCAGGATGCCCAGAGCAGGAAGTAAACTTCCTGCTTATACTTATCTGACAACATGGCCATCAAAAGTTAGTTTTTACTAACTTGACTTTCACACAGTTTAAGATTAGGAACACAATAACCGGAAGGAGCTTTGTGGTAGCTGGAAGGTAGAATACACTAGCCTGAAAAGTATAGAAATGCATTGACACCAAATGTAACAACTTGTATGTCTTGAAAAGTATAGGAATTAAAGGATAGGTTCACATTTATTAAGTTGTTGTCTTAAAACAATATTCAAATTTGCATATTAAAAGCACTGTCTTCAGTTGTTCCTTCTCTCCATATTGGCTGCAAAAGAGATCCAGTCTTGAATCAATTTAGATGTGAATAACGGGGAACAAAATTCAGCATGGAAAGGTTTTTATCCATTTTGCCCACTCATAGATGTTGGCCAACACCACATATCTAATGTAGACAATGGGAGGTGGAATTATCTCACCCTGTTTACACCTGATATGTCCTAAATACATGTGAGCGACTGAGAGGCTTTCTGATCACTCAAACCACAAGGTGGTCTGGGACGCATTTGAAACCAAATTTTGTAGTGCAAACTGCAGTGCTTCCTGGTACATATGTAAATATGTCAGTCAATTTTCATACATTCGCAAAAGCGAAAGTGTGTGTCCTGCTCATAAAGTTCAGTTATAAAATCTCACAACGCAGCAATGTCTTTCCATACTAGGTGTAAACAGGCTCATTGAGGTTTTAAAAAAAAATATTTTGTAAATGTTTACATTCAGTGTTCTGCACACACAAAATACATTGTGTGTGTCTCTAATGCAGATAGATTGAATGCATTTTGTTTGAAGACAGAGTGTGTAACATTTATGAGGATCTATTGACAGAAACACAATATAATATTCATAGGCCTGTTTTAGTTAGTCTATAATCACCTCAATATAATAAGTGTTGTGTTTTAATTGCCTTAGAATAAGCTGTGGCCCACACCACTTACAAACCAGGCCCACATAACGTTACAATGACTGAGAAAGACTGTAACAGTATATGTCTCTCAGCGCAAATAATGTGGCCTAATCAATGAATGAATGCAAACAAAATTGGAAAACCATATAGATAGATAGAAACAGAAAAAAATAAATAGGTCATTTATCAACTATTAAGCATAAATAATTAGGATAAACTATGAATATTTTTTAACTGCACTTGTTTTTTTTCCCCCAACCTTTGTAGCTGTGGTTTTATGAATGCGAATGCTGGTACCACACAGGAAGGTTGACTTTATGTTTGTGGACAGGTTTCTTCAGACTGCTGAGATGTTGAAACCTTCCACTCCGTCTGCAAGCCATGACAGCACTGGCTCTTCAGGCAATGATGATGGAGCAGAGTACTATCCTCATATAGGTGAGTTGGTAATGCAGAAACACATAATCTTGCACCCCATCCAGGTGTTAATGATATCCCAATTAAAGTGTCTCTTCTTTAAATTCCTCCCATATCCAGTGTTCCTCCAGAATAAGGCCAGGCGGGATGATTTCTGCCCAAGGAATCTGAAAAACATGCATATGGTTGTGGACAAATTAATGGCCCACTCTCATCTCAAATACAAAGGTTCAAAACTATTCTCTTCATATATAAATGTATTCTGTTTATGCTGTGGTTTTTAAAGGTCCAGTGTGTAACATTTAGGAGGATCTATTGCAGATATGAAATATGTTTTAATTGGTGTACCTGAAAACAATCAATGGGTTTTTATTACCTTATAATGAGCTGTTTTTATCTATAGACCGAGGCTGGCATGTTGAACCGCCATGTTTCTGTAGTAGCCCCAAATGAACAGCCTAAACACTGGCTCTACATAGTGCCTTTGGGTTTTTCTTGTGAGAAGGCTGAGCTGTATTCAGATGGATGCCATCTGCGTCTGCAAGGTTACCACACAATGCCAAATGAATCCTACACGCTGGGCCTTCAAGGGCAAATCATGTTTAACGTCTAAAACTGGGTGTAGATAATGACAAACAAATGTATGCCAAATGTAAATA